GATGGTTGTTCTGATTTTCAGAATAGTTGGATAATTTGGGTTCGAATCCACCTCGTTTACCTCGATAAGATCTCTGGCGAATCTCATTCCTTTGATGTTATTCGTCTTCGTCTTGTTTAACTCTACGTTTAGGGGGAAATTTTCAGAGAAAACATTACTCTGTTTCACAGTTAATTTATATACCTGATAATATATAAATATCTAGTGATGACTCTACGTACGTTTCTGCTTAGCAATTCTCTAAAACGTCTGATGTGTTCAGCTTTGTCGAAAGGTTTGGAAGTATCAAGAGAGAGAGAGAGAGAGAGAGAGAGAGAGAGAGAGAAGAGAGAGAGAGAGAGAGAGAGAGAGAGAGAGAGAGAGAGAGAGAGAGAGAGAGAGGAGAGAGAGAGAGAGAGAGAGAGAGAGAGAGAAGGAGAGAGAGAGAGGAGAGAGAGAGAAGAGGAGAGAGAGAGAGAGAGAGAGAGAGAGAGAGAGAGAGAGAGAGAGAGAGAGAGAGAGAGAGAGAGAGAGAGAGAGAGAGAGAGAGAGAGAGAAAGGAGAGAGAGAGAGAGAGAGAGAGAGACAGAGAGAGAGAGAACAGAGGTACATTGCGAATTGCAGTACTGAATAGTTTCCGCCGCAACCAAACTACAGAGCGTTGTTGAATAACCAGTTTTATATGCAAATTGAAAGCGAGAGGCGCCTAGTTCGTCCTTAAATGATATCTAGACACTGTGAGTATTCCTGGCTGAACACATATCTTTTCAGAATTGCTCACTAACTTGCCCAGTTTTACTTAGTTTTAATTACTAACTTGGTCTCGTTAGAGGAGGGAACCAAGGAGACAGGTAAGAATACAGATGGTAACGAATAATTGATGTTCTTAATGATGTCTCGTCTGAGACGTCTTCAAGATGATGTCATGAACACTTTTCATAGATGGAAAACTTTGTACTTAACTCGATCTTCACAACAGAAGTTAAATGTGTTGAACTACCCTGGGTTCGATCCCGGGCGCCGGCGAGAAACAATGGGCAGAGTTTCTTTCACCCAATGCCCCCTGTTACCTAGCAGTAAATAGGTACCTGGGTGTTACTCAGTTGTCACGGGCTGTTTCCTGGGGGTGGAGGCCTGGTCGAGGACCGGGCCGCGGGGACACTAAAGCCCCGAAATCACCTCAAGGTAACCTCAAGGTAAGAGGGGTGGGAATTGTGACAGGTAAGAGGGTGGGGGGCACACGAGACAGGGAGAGACGGGATTATAAAATAAAAGAGAAAGCACAATAGTGGTCAGAACAGCATCACCCACCACCTAAAATGAGTAAAGGAGAGAGACCAGATAAGGGGAGATAAAGTAGGGGAAGAGGACATAGGAAAGGCTAGATGAGGGAGGAGAGATGAGGTAGAAAGAAAAAGGGAATGGAGAGAACTGACAGTAATGAGGAATAGCAACAACGGGAAGATGTATAAGAAAGATAAAGGGAAGAGCAAATGAGAAGATTGGAAGGGGTTCTTGAAGAGGAGAAGAGAGGGGGGAGGGGAGGGGGGGGGAGGGAGGGTTATGAAGGAGGGGAGGAAAGGTTAGGGGTCGCTCAGTTCAACCCCCCCCCCATCTCCCCCAGGCCCCCCTTCACAGCTGGCTCTTCTCACCCCCCCCCCCCCCACCACACACCCCCACAATTTCTGCCTCGCCCCTAACCTCTGTTTAGACCTTTGCTGGTCCATATACACCCCCACTACCACCCTGCCGCCCTGCCAACCCTCCCAGCGTCCCTACCAACCCTCCCAGCGTCCCTACCAACCCTCCCAGCGACCCTGCCAACCCTCCCAGCGTCCCTACCAACCCTCCCAGCGTCCCTACCAACCCTCCCAGCGTCCCTGCCAACCCTCCCAGCGACCCTACCAACCCTCCCAGCGTCCCTACCAACCCTCCCAGCGTCCCTACCAACCCTCCCAGCGTCCCTACCAACCCTCCCAGCGTCCCTACCAACCCTCCCAGCGTCCCTACCAACCCTCCCAGCGTCCCTACCAACCCTCCCAGCGTCCCTACCAACCCTCCCAGCGACCCTGCCAACCCTCCCAGCGTCCCTGCCAACCCTCCCAGCGACCCTACCAACCCTCCCAGCGTCCCTACCAACCCTCCCAGCGTCCCTACCAACCCTCCCAGCGACCCTACCAACCCTCCCAGCGTCCCTACCAACCCTCCCAGCGTCCCTACCAACCCTCCCAGCGTCCCTACCAACCCTCCCAGCGTCCCTACCAACCCTCCCAGCGTCCCTACCAACCCTCCCAGCGACCCTACCAACCCTCCCAGCGATCCTACCAACCCTCCCAGCGTCCCTACCAACCCTCCCAGCGTCCCGGCAGTCATGGGATGGGAGGGCTCGGGCAGGGAGAGAAAACCGATATTCCGGGAGTGTTTAAAGTTGCCGTGAATGTTGAATGTGTGGAGGCTGGGATCACCAGAGCCATGTTTACTGGCTGGCGACCGTACCCGTCTCAGCTGCCCGTCTTTGTGGCACGTCCTCGTGGCCCGTCCTCGTAGCCCCGTCCTTGTGGCCCGTCCTCGTGGCCAGTCCTCGTGGCCCGTCCTCGTGGCCCGTCTTTGTGGCACGTCCTCGTGGCCCGTCCTCGTGGCCCGTCCTCGTGGCCCGTCCTCGTAACCCGTCCTCGTAACCCGTCCAAGCTACTAAGCTCTGGGGGCGTGGACAGGGCCCTCCCTACATCACCAGTATGCTAATGTGGTACACGGAATTGTTCATTTAAATTCCATGATTAATTAAATCCACGTTAAATGGTACTTCACTGTTGCAGATTTTTATCTCGAGAAGTACGTGCGTGCGTGCGTGTGTGCGGGCGGACACGTGGGCGGGGGACACATTCGAACACGTTCGACACGTGGAGCGAATGGAATTGGGGGGAGGGGATGGTAGAAGGTTGTTTTCCCACTGTTTAATCTCCTTTGTGAAGCTTGGAGAAGATTAATCTGACGAAACATGTACATCTTTCTTCAGGCAAACTACTTGATTTGCTTATATTAATTAGTTTATAAGCTGATTTAATCAGTGACGTGATGCTAGTCACAGGTGACGTCGTGAGGATTCTCTTACCTGATTACATCCTCTAGGAGCTGAGTGACTTCCATGTGATGTCACTAAGGATATTTACCTATTCTACAAGCCCGAGACATCGTCATTAATTCACTAATTATTTGTAACGCCATGATGGCTGAGGTAATTATATTTTGACCAGACCACACACACTAGAAGGTGAAGGGACGACGACGACGACGTTTCGGTCCGTCCTGGACCATTCTCAATCGACTTGAGAATGGTCCAGGACGGACCGAAACGTCGTCGTCCCTTCACCTTCTAGTGTGTGGTCTGGTCAACATACTTTAGCCACGTTATTGTGACTCCTCGTCTGCATGAGGTAACGATAGTTAGTCGTATATCGCTCTTGCAAGCCGATGTCCATTGATTGAGTCCCAGTAGCAGTCGGGTATGTGGTTCTTAAACTATTAGGGTATTCTTAATGCTCCAAGAGTCATAATTTTAATTAATTGACTAATGTTCACGGAGCTTTAAGTAATTTAAAAAACCACAGAAAGCCTCCATGTTTTCCGGAGTGATGTCATTTCGGCTTTTTTGTTGACATTCTTTAATATTAGGTGACTTCATTAGGTCTTCGTAAAGTTCGTATGTGTACAGGTGATATCATTAGATGTTGATAAGGTTCCAGTACGTCCAAATGACATCATTAGATGTTGATAACGTTCCAGTACTTCCAGATGACATCATTAGATGTTGATAACGTTCCAGTACATCCAGATGACATCATTAGATATTGATAACGTTCTAGTACATCCAGATGACATCATTAGATGTTGATAACGTTCCAGTACTTCCAGATGACATCATTAGATGTTGATAACGTTCCAGTACATCCAGATGACATCATTAGATATTGATAACGTTCCAGTACATCCAGATGACATCATTAGATATTGATAACGTTCCAGTACATCCAGATGACATCATTAGATGTTGATAACGTTCCAGTACATCCAGATGACATCATTAGATGTTGATAACGTTCCAGTACATCCAGATGACATCATTAGATATTGATAACGTTCCAGTACATCCAGATGACATCATTAGATATTCATAACGTCCCAGTACATCCAGATGACATCATTAGATGTTGATAACGTTCCAGTACATCCAGATGACATCATTAGATGTTGATAACGTTCCAGTACATCCAGATGACATCATTAGATATTGATAACGTTCCAGTACATCCAGATGACATCATTAGATATTGATAACGTTCCAGTACATCCAGATGACATCATTAGATGTTGATAACGTTCCAGTACATCCAGATGACATCATTAGATATTGATAACGTTCCAGTACATCCAGATGACATCATTAGATGTTGATAACGTTCCAGTACTTCCAGATGATATCATTAAATTTTGGTGGCGTTCATGAAGGCGCAGATGATATCATAAATAACCACAATGGAATCTCTGGCACAGGAGGTCCAACGACCCTTTGCCTAGCTGTTGGACAGCTTTATTGAGCCATAAATACTCCAGTAGACAAGCAAATATTCCCAGAGCAGGAGAAAGAAAGTCTGAGAGCAAGAATAGAACACAGACAGAAATTTTAATAAAATTCAAAGCAGATAAAGATTCTTACAGATGAACAGAATCAAAGCAGAAGAGAAGAAAGCGTCAAGCCATTACGACTGTATATAGCACTTGGAAGGGATTAAGGATTTGGGATGAGACGAGGAGAGAGAAATGGTGTCCAAGCACTTGGACGGTCGGGGATCGAACGCCGACCTGCATGAAGCGAGACTGTCGCTCTACCGTCCAGCCCAAGTGATTGGGCTAATCAAGCAGTCAAAGAGGGAGAAAGATCGAGAGAGGAGACAGAAAATGAGGTGGGTACAAATTAAAGATTTAAATAGAGAAGGAGAGATGAGGAATGAGGAAAGACAGAGATGGAGAACGAGAGGAAAGACAGAGATGGAGAACGAGAGGAAAGACAGAGATGGAGAACGAGAGGAAAGACAGAGATGGAGAACGAGAGGAAAGACAGAGATGGAGAACGAGAGGAAAGACAGAGATGGAGAACGAGAGGAAAGACAGAGATGGAGAACGAGAGGAAAGACAGAGATGGAGAACGAGAGGAAAGACAGAGATGGAGAACGAGAGGAAAGACAGAGATGGAGAACGAGAGGAAAGACAGAGATGGAGAACGAGAGGAAAGACAGAGATGGAGAACGAGAGGAAAGACAGAGATGGAGAACGAGAGGAAAGACAGAGATGGAGAACGAGAGGAAAGACAGAGATGGAGAACGAGAGGAAAGACAGAGATGGAGAACGAGAGGAAAGACAGAGATGGAGAACGAGAGGAAAGACAGAGATGGAGAACGAGAGGAAAGACAGAGATGGAGAACGAGAGGAAAGACAGAGATGGAGAACGAGAGGAAAGACAGAGATGGAGAACGAGAGGAAAGACAGAGATGGAGAACGAGAGGAAAGACAGAGATGGAGAACGAGAGGAAAGACAGAGATGGAGAACGAGAGGAAAGACAGAGATGGAGAACGAGAGGAAAGATAGAGATGGAGAACGAGAGGAAAGACAGAGATGGAGAACGAGAGGAAAGACAGAGATGGAGAACGAGAGGAAAGACAGAGATGGAGAACGAGAGGAAAGACAGAGATGGAGAACGAGAGGAAAGGGAGAGAACGAGAGCAGGCGACGGTATCGACGTTCACACTAGGAACAAGTTCGCAGAGGACAGGAGAGGCGTGTGTGTGTGTGTGTGGAGAAGGCCGCCCTCTTGCCCCGCCCTTCATGAGGCTGTAGGTAGGAGTGTGAGGAAGTTTATTGCCTCACACCTCACGACGGTAGAGGTGAGTGTGTGAGGAAAGATTTTGCCTCACTCATGATGCTAGAGATGGGGTTTATGAGGAAGGACCTTTCCTCAAAGCTCATGATAACATGAGGAAGGACCTTTCCTCAAAGCTCATGATAACATGAGGAAGGACCTTTCCTCAAAGCTCATGATAACAAAGGCGACTATATATTTATTTTCTTTCAATAAATCATTTTTTATCGTGAATGCCTCATCATACTGACTTGAAACTAGAAGCATTTATACGTATTAATAAAAGTGACATTTACTTTCATTGTCGCGTAATGTTGCCCAATGAAAACTATTGTATCAGGCAGAAAGATATGTGAACCTGGGATGGATGCGACCGTAGAGTTTAACGAGCAATGAGATTTAAATTTGTTAAATTTTGCCCCGAAGGGCGAGTTTATTGGGCAGCGTCACTCATCCTGTGAGTGGACACACCGCCATAGTGACAGTATTGGGCAGCGCCACTCATCCTGTGAGTGGACACACCGCCATAGTGACAGTATTGGGCAGCGCCACTCATCCTGTGAGTGGACACACCGCCATAGTGACAGTATTGGGCAGCGCCGCTCATCCTGTGAGTGGACACACCGCCATAGTGACAGTATTGGGCAGCGTCACTCATCCTGTGAGTGGACACACCGCCATAGTGACAGTATTGGGCAGCGCCACTCATCCTGTGAGTGGACACACCGCCATAGCAGCATGTACAACACTCCCCAAAAGGAAGAAAACCCGCTGGGTTGTTCGTCCTGTCGATGTAACCGCGATAGAAAGCGATAAACCAGTATTACTATATAGCAATTGGAAAGGATATGAAAACAAGGAGCTGGGATAGGACGGTGTGAAGGAATGGTGCCTAACCACTTGCACCATCGGGGGATCGAACGCCGACCTGCAAGAATAGCTGTTAGTCTATCTGTTATCCCTGCCGTCTACTACATAACTCTACTAACTACTCTACTACTACATAACTCTACCGCCCTTCTTCTTGAGGTTATATCTTGAGATGATTTCGAGGCTTTAGTGTCCCCGCGGCCCGGTCCTCGACCAGGCCTCCATCCCCAGGAAGCAGCCCGTGACAGCTGACTAACTCTCAGGTACCTATTTACTGCTAGGTAACAGGGGCATCAGGCTGAAAGTAACTCTGCCCATTGTTTCTTATCGGCGCCCGGGATCGAACCCGGGACCACGGGATCACGCGTCCAGTGTTCTGTCCGCCACACCACCAACCTAACACACGTCGCAATAGCTAGAGTCCGCGTAGACTACGTTCTTAGAATTGACTTCCCGGAGTTGGCCTTACTGCGTCGCTGTTGGTCTTCCTCGAACCATCTATGATTTACTCCCACTGCCTTGCCAGCCACTTGGGCTGGACGGTAGAGCGACGGTCTCGCTTCTTGCAGGTCGGCGTTCAATCCCCGACCGTCCAAGTTGTTCAGCACCATTCCTTCCCCCCCGTCCCATCCCAATTCCTTATCCTGACCCCCTTCCATGTGCTGTATAGTCATAATGGTTTGACGCTTTTCCTGATAATTCTCTCCCTTCCACTGCGTTGGCAACACTACATAGTCTCCTGAGGGAGACGGTCGGCCAAGCGGACAGCACGCTGGACTTGTGATCCTGTGGTCCCGGGTTCGATCCTGGGCGCCGGCGAGAAACAATGGGCAGAGTATCTTTCACCCTATGCCCCTGTTACCTAGCAGTAAAATAGGTACCTGGGTGTTTGTCAGCTGTCACGGGCTGCTTCCTGGGAGTGGAGGCCTGGTCGAGGACCGGGCCGCGGGGACACTAAAGCCCCGAAATCATCTCACGATAACCTCAAGATAACCTCCTCGGCTTGGCGCCTTCTTTTGATAATTATCAACTACCACTTCCACCCAATTAACGTCTGACAATCAGTGCCAGAGTATATTAATTAACAGACTCTTGGATAAAAATATTTTCTAAATCTATTTTTAGTCTAAATCTAAATCTATCTTCATTGTTTACATAGGGTAACTTTTATACTTAATCAGAGGTAATAAACCACATTCCTAGAATTAAATCTAAAATCTGCCTTCTGTAATGAATTGAACTTTGTTTTATATTACCAAGATCTCGTGAATCGTGATGTATATGAAGATTTACTCTGTGTAAGAGTCTATGTAATATGTATTTATATATATATATATATATATATATATATATATATGTGTGTGTGTGTGTGTGTATGTGTGTATATATATGAATACATATACACACATACACATGTGTATATGTGTATATATATGTGTATATGTGTATATATATGTATATATATGTATGTGTGTATATATATGTATATATATGTGTAAGAGTCCACGCTCAGAGCATCTGCAATACCATCTCTCAGAGAATCTTCAGTGCACAAGGCCTGCCTGTCTTATTCTCATGTTTGTGTAAACTCAAAAGGAGACAATGCTTATCAGTCAATCCTTCAAGTTTGTTTACATTCCACATTTTTGTTTTCAGGTGAATGTTTTTGAGGATGGTGGTTCGAGGGAGCTCGTGCATGGACTTGACAGTAAGTGAGGTCAAGCGCTGTGTTCTTAATGGCTGCTCTTCGGTACGGTAGCATGTTGAAATTGTTTGTTGCATATTAGTAAGGAGTGTGTGTGGATGTTAACCAATTATACTGATCCTGTGGATTTGCTTTCCTGTGTTCCAGTCGTTATCTACGATTTTTTACTGTGAGGCAGTTGTTATCTGCGATTTTCTACTGTGAGGCAGTCGCTATCTGCGATTTCCTTCTTTTATTCAGTCGCTATCTGCTATTTTTTCCTGTGATTCTGTCGTTATCTGCGATTTCCTCCTGTTATCCAGTCGCTATCTGCGATTTCCTTCTTATATTCAGTCGCTATCTGCTATTTTCTCCTGTGATTTTGTCGTTATCTGCTATTTCCTCCTGTTATCCAGTTGCTATCTGCTATTTTCTACCGCGATCCAGTCGCTATCTACGATTTCCTACTGTGATTTAGTAGCTATCTACGATTTTCTCCTGTCATTCTCTCGCTATCTGCGAGTATCCCTTGTGATCCAATTTCTATCAGCGATTTTTGTCCCATTTCAGTTGTTCACAAGTTTTAGTCATGTTCACCTCGGCATAATACTTTGGGACAGCTGTGCAGTCTGATGTTTATAAAACCCAAAAGCACTATTAACGCTAATGGTAGCTTTGTGGATGACCCTACCAGCTTGCTCCTAATGACCTTTGAAGCTCGCTTTGAAAAACTAGTTCCTTGACTTGGAAGATCTATATAGCATGGTTTGAAGACAAATGACTTGGCATTAAAGTTCAATAACTTGACCTGCAGACATAAATCAATTATTCTTTAATGTAAATATAATTAAAACCCATTATTAGACTTGGAAGTTCTATAACCTTGCTGTGAGTATTAGTAATCCATTGACCTGAATATAAAGGCCAGAAGGTTTGTGTAGAAGATCAATAACGTTGGTTTAAATTTTGTATATACAAATTATTAGCTTAGAAGATTTTTTATATTTAATAATTATTTGGCTGTGAGGGTCTATAATTTAGCTCTTAAGAAATATACATTTTGACTCTCAGGACCTATAACTTTGTTTTTCAATTCCAGTAACTGTCTCCTTCCTCACTTCCTTAGTGCCTCCTTCCTCCCTCTTCCCCTTGACTGCTTCCCTCCCTGCCTTCCTTCCCCTCTCTCTGTCTGCCTCTTCCTGTCTCCTCTATCTGTCTGCCTTCCCCTCTCCCTGTCTGTGTCCCTCCCCCCTTCCATCCCCAGGACCACCTCTACAAGGACCACCTCTACAAGGACCACCTCTCGTAGGAAAACCCTTCCCAGGACCTCGGCTCTCAACGCCAAAGCTACAACATCAAAAGATTTACAAGTGGACCAGATCCAGTGGTAACATTAGCAATTTACAAGTTAACTCAAAGGTCAGCGTCCGGATCGTCCTTTCGTCTCTTCTGAGAAATTGCCATCACTGCTGCTCCTCCCATTCCTCCTTTTCCTCGACCTCCTCGTTGTCCTCTTCCTCCACAGTGTAAAAACTAATTTCCTTTCGATTATCTCTAGCATCAAATTAGAAGGAGGAGAGCTGCTAAGGCACAGGCCAGATTCCGGACACATACAGAGCAGAAGGTAATGGAACATCGGTAACACTATGATAAACTATCAACAATGAAGCAGGGGAACATAAAGAGAGGATTGGCTGCACTATTTTTGACTGCCATGTTGTTGCAGGCAAAAGGCGCCAACAAAAACACGAGATCAGACAGGAATAACGAGGGTATTTACCTGGATGAAGGAACATCTGTCAGATTGAAGCTAGAGAGTGTGTGAGAGAGGGAGCATAGAGCTTCCACTTAGGTAGGAAATTCGTACAGAACGACATTATTTATAGATAGACATTGAACCTGTAGACGAAATGTCATCAACAGTCTACTCTCATCGTGGTGTTATGCACATGATCGCTACATATAAGATACTTATTGGCTCTGACGAGGAAAGCAGGGAATGAGGAAATTGTTCAGTAAACACAACGAAACAACACAAAAGATCGTGGGTAGAAAGTATCACTTGAGCCGCAAATTTGAAGGAAAACTTCTCTGTCTTAAGAGTATCAAGATATGCTTAAATTATATATTATAGAAAATCTTATGGATTTGGAGCCGTGTCATTAATCGACTGAAAGGTGAAAAGCCGAGGGCCAAGAGCTGACGCTCGTTCCTGTGTTCACAATGAAGCAAATACACACACACACACACACACACACACACACACACACACACACACACACACACACACACACACACACACACACACACACACACACACACACACAATTTCAACCTG